AATGCATGAATGGGAAGTAACAATGACTTTATTACCTCTGCAAGTGGTGCCCAAAGGGGGGAGGGGAGGGTGGGGTGGTTGGTTTACAGGGAAGTAGAGTAAACCGGGGAGGGGGGGGGCGCGGAGGGTTCATCAAGGAGAAACAAACAAACAGAAGTTTCACACCGTAGCCTAGCCAGTCACAAAACTGGTTTTCAAAGCTTCTCTGATGCGCACCGCGCCCTACTGTACTCTTCTAACCGCCCTGGTGTCTGGCTGCGCGTAATCAGCGGCCAGGCGATTTGCCTCAACCTCCCACCCTGCCATAAAGGTCTCCCCCTTACTCTCACAGATATTGTGGAGCGCACAGCAAGCAGCAATAAAAATGGGGATATTGGTTTCGCTGAGGTCTATCCGAGTCAGTAAGCTGCGCCAGCGCACTTTTAAACATCCAAATGCACATTCCACCACCACTCGGCACTTGCTCAGCCTATAGTTGAACAGGTCCTGACTACTGTCCAGGCTGCCTGTGTACGGCTTCATTAAGGGGTAGGCTGGGTCCCCAAGGATAACGATAGGCATTTCAACATTCCCAACGATTATTTTCTGGTCTGGGAAGAAAGTCCCTTCCTCCAGCTTTCGAAACAGACCAGAGTGCCTGAAGACGCGAGCATCATGTACCTTTCCCGGCCATCCCACGTTGATATTGGTGAAACGTCCCTTGTGATCCACCAGGGCTTGCAGCAGCATTGAAAAGTACCCCTTGCGGTTTATGTACTCGGTGGCTTGGTGCTCCAGTGCCAAGATAGGGATATGGGTTCTGTCTATCTCCCCACCACAGTTTGGGAATCCCATTGCAGCAAAGCCATCCACTATGACCTGCACGTTTCCCAGAGTCACTACCCTTGATATCAGCAGGTCTTTGATTGCCCTGGCAACTTGGATCACAGCAGCCCTCACAGTAGATTTGCCCACTCCAAATTGATTCCCGACTGACCGGTAGCTGTCTGGCGTTGCAAGCTGCCACAGGGCTATCGCCACTCGCTTCTCAACTGTGAGAGCTGCTATCATCCTGGTATTCTGGTGCTTCAGGGCAGGGGAAAGCAAGTCACAAAGTTCCATGAAAGTGCTCTTACGCATGCGAAAGTTTCGCAGCCACTGGGAATCGTCCCACACCTGCAACACGATGTGGTCCCACCAGTCTGTGCTTGTTTCCCGGGCCCAGAATCGGCATTCCACGCCATAAACCTGCCCCAGTAACACCATGATTTGCACATTGCTGGGGCCCGTACTTTGTGAGAGGTCTATGTCCATGTCAATTTCCTCATCACTCTCGTCACCACGCTGCAATCGCCTCCTCGGCTGGTCCTGGTTCTGCTTTGGCATGTCGTGGCTCTGCATATACTCCAGGACAATGCTCGTGGTCTTCATCGTGCTCATAATTGCCGCGGTGATCTGAGCGGGCTCCATGATCCCAGTGCTATGGCGTCTGGTCTGAAAAAAGGCGCAAAACTGACGGAGGGAGGGAGGGGCGACTGACGACATGGCGTACAGGTACAGGGAATTAAAATCAACAAAGGTGGCTGTGCATCAGGGAGAAACACAAACAACTGTCACACAGAATGCCCCCCCCCCAAAGATTGAACTCAAAACCCTGGGTTTAGCAGGCCGTGGATTTCACGGAGCGAGGGGGAAGCAAATGAATACAGAACAAATCTGGTCCATCTATTTTTTACATCTTAAGCTGGCAGCAGACGGTGCAGCATGACTGATAGCCATCGGCATCTTCTGGGTGCTTGGCAGAAAATGATGTACTACGACTGCTAGCCATCATCATCAAGACGGTTCAATAGGCCAGGGGACAAAACATGTCTGCCCAGGGACCTCTGATTGAACTCACTGAGGAATACGACGATGACGGATACCAGTCGTAATACACCATCCACTGCCAAAAGGCAAGGGGCTGCTGCTGTGTAGCAATGCAGCCCCACGTCTGCCAGCACCCAGATAGCCAATGACGGCTACCAGTCATACTGCACCGTCTACTGCCAAAAGGCAATTAGCTGCTGCTGTGTAGCAATGCAGTACTACGTCTGCCGGCACCCAGATGACATATGGTGATGGTGAGCTGAGCTGAGCTGAGCGGGCTCCATGCTTGCCGTGATATGTTGTCTGCACAGGTAACCCAGGTAAAAAGGCGCAAATCGATTGTCTGCCGTTGCTCTGACGGAGGGGGAGGGGTCTGACGACATGTACCTAGAACCCCCCACGACACTGTTTTGCATCGTCAGGCATTGGGATCTCAACCCAGAATTCCAATGGGCAACGGAGACTGCGGGAACTGTGAGATAGCTACCCACAGTACAACGCTCCTCCGGAAGTCGACGCTAGCTTCGGTACTGTGGACGCGGTCCGCCGACTTCATGCACTTAGAGCATTTTATGTGGGGACACACACAATCGACTGTATAAAACCGATATCTATAAAACCGGCTTCTATAAATTCGACCTAATTTCGTAGTGTAGACATACCCTCAGTCTCCAAGTACCCACCAGCACCCAACCTCCCTCACCTATTGGCTGTGCCCATCCAGCAACAACCCAACTTCCAAATATTCCATTCCCCAGCACTCTCCATTTTGCCTCCCAAATCACCAATCTCTCAATGCCCCAGCGCTCATCTGTAATGAATGTGGGAATTTTCTGCAATATTTTTATGAATTTCCTTCCTTAGAGGTTTTTAAGGTCAGGCTTGACAAAGCTCTGGCTGGGATGATTTAGTTGGGGCTTGGTCCAGTTTTGAGCAGGTGGTTGGACTAGATGACCTCCTGAGGTCCCTTCCAACCCTGATATTCTATGATTCTATTAACAATATGTGTCTCAGTTGGCCATTTGTCTTTGCATTGTTACTCATTGGATGCAGAGAGAATAAAATGCTTCTCCTGGAACAGGGAAGGAGACATATGATGTTTGATCTCTCTGTGGTGGCGTGAATGCACCCTCAGAAGCTGGCTAGAACCACAACATACCAATGGAAGATCCAGAAGAGACAATGACAGACATTAACCCTTAACAATAGGTGGTTCAAGCAGGCTGAATGTGTGAACACAGCATGGCTTTTTCTGGAGAACAGAGACAAGAGGTGTCAGGGATCATTGTTTAAGAAGAAGGTTCACAGACACATAGGAGTTCTCATTCAGGACTGAGAGATAGAAGGACAGAGAGAGAAGATGGATCCTACAACAGCATGGCTTTGTGAAGCCCTGGCTTTGATCAGTCTGAACTGGGTTTTAACCTTTGCTTCTCTAAGGCTATGTCTACACTAGAGAACTTACAGCGGCACATCTGTACCGATGCAGCAGCACCATTATAAGATCTCTTGGGTAACCGCCCTATGCCGACAGGAGAGCTCTCACCCATCAACATAATTAAACCACCCCAACAACAGCTTCTCCCACTGACATAGCACTGTGCACACTAACACTTATGCTGGTGAAATTTATGTTGCTCAGGGCTGTGTTTTTTTCACACCTCTGAGCGATGTAAGTTTTGCCGACATACGTGGCAGTGTAGGTATGGCCTAAGTTAACCTAAGGACTTCCTGATACTGTATCCCAGTTGATTATTTAAATCTATCCTGTTTGGAAAACACCTGCCTGGTGTTGCTACCAACACCACCTGAAGTGCATTGACCCCTGAGGGGTGTGTGTGGGGCGGGAAGTCTCAGACCAGGAGTCTACCTCAGATGGATTCACTGTGCAGAGCTCAACATGAGGAACAGGAGTGCTGGAGTCCAAAGGCTCAGTCTCGGAGGTGTTGAGGCCGAGGGGGCTGCCTTTGTGGCCAGGGCATGGCATGGACCCTTTAAATCCATAACAGGTACCCTGTAAAACCCAGCCAAGCATAGACCCCATCATCCCCATTTGACTGAGTGTAGCAGAACCGTTAGAAACACCATAACAAAAGCAACAATGAAAAACATTGTGAATACCTATTCCATGTGTATTTTCTGATGTCTTATAAGGTGGGAGCTCTGACGGAAGCTTTTCCCACACTCAGGGCATTTATAGGGTTTTTCTCCCGTATGGATCCTCTGATGTGTTTTAAGAAGTGAGTTTGACTGGAAGCTTTTCCCGCACTCACTACATTTAAAAGGTCTCTCCTCAATGTGGATTTTCTGGTGTCTAACAAGGCCTGAGGTCACACTGAATCGTTCCCCACAGTCGGGGCATTTATAGGGCCTGTCTTCTGAGTGGATTTGCCGGTGTCTCCTAAGGGCTGAGCTGTCAGTGAACCTTTTCTCACATTCGAGGCATTTAAAGGGTCTCTCTCCTGTATGGATTCTTTGGTGTTTCAAAAGGGCTGAGCTGTGACTAAAGCTTTTCCCACATTCAGGGCATTTATAGATTTTCTCTCCTGTGTGGATTATCTTATGTTTAATAAGGCTTGAACTGTCACTGAAGCTTTTCCCACATTCTGGGCATTTATAAGGTTTCTCTTCTGTGTGGATTCTCCTGTGTTTAATGAGGCCTGAGCGGTCACTGAAACTTTTCCCACAGACAAGGCATTTATAGGGTCTCTCTCCTGTGTGGGTTCTTTGATGTACAATAAGGGCTGAATTCACACTAAAGGATTTCCCACACTCAGGGCATTTATAAGGTTCTTCTCCTGTATGGTTTCTTTTATGTTTAATAAGTCCTGAGCAGTCACTGAAGTTTTCCCCACAGACCAGGCATTTATATGGTCGCTCACCAGTGTGGCTTCTCTGATGTCTAGTAAGGTGTGAGCTCAGACGGAAAGTTTTCCCACAGTCAAGGCATTTATAGGGTCTTTCTCCCGAGTGGAGTCTCTGATGTACAATGAGGTCTGAGTTCACACTGAAGCTTTTCCCACAGTCGGGACATTTATAGGGCTTCTCTCCAGTGTGGATTCTCTGATGCGTGATAAGAGTTGATCTGCGATTGAAGCTTTTCCCGCACTCAAGGCATTTAAAGGGTCTCTCTCCCGTGTGGATTCTTTGATGTTTGATAAGGTAGGACCTTGCATTGAAGCTTTTCCCACACTCGGGGCATTTATAAGGTTTATCTACAGTGTGTATCCTCTCATGCGTAAGAAGGTAGGAGCTCACTCGGAATCTTTTCCCACATTTGAGGCACTCATAGGGTTTCTCTGCTGTATGGATTTTCCGATGAGTACAAAGGGTTGAGCTCAGACGGAAGCTTTTCCCACAGTCGGGGCATTTATAAGGTTTAGCACCAGTGTGGATTCTCTGATGTCGAACAAGGCATGAGCGCAGGATGAAGCTTTTCCCACAGTCAGGGCATTTGTAGGGTCTCTCTCCCGAGTGGATTGCCTGATGTACAGTAAGGGCTGAAATCACACGGAAGCTTTTCCCACAGTCAGTACAGTTATAGGGCTTCTCTGCCACATGGATTTTCTTGTGTTTTATAAAGGCTGAGCAATCACTGAAGCTTTTCCCACAGTCGGGGCATTTATAGGGTCTCTCTCCTGTGTGGGTTCTCTGATGTTTCATAAGGTCAGAGCTTGCACAGAAGCTTTTCCCACAGTCAGAGCATTTGAAGGGTTTATCTACAGTGTGGGTCCTCTCGTGCATAAGAAGGTAGGAGCGCACTCGGAAGCTTTTCCCACATTGTAGGCACTCATAGGGTTTCTCTGCCCTGTGGATTTTTTCATGTGTCCTAAGTGTTGAGTTCTGACGGAAGCTTTTCCCGCAGTCGGGGCACTTATAGGGCTTGTCTCCAGTGTGGATTCTCTGGTGAGTAACAAGGATTGATTTCTGATTGAAGATTTCCCCACACTCCATGCATTTATAGGGTCTCTCATCAGTGTGGATTGTCTGATGCACAGCAAGGTCTGAGCTCACATTGAAGCTTTGGTCACACTCAGGGCAGTTATAGGGTTTCTCTGCAGTGTTAATTCTGTGATGGGCTTTGTTATTTTTAGTTTTCCTGAGAGCTCTGCCAGTGGAAGTGGCTTTACTCTGTGATGTCTCTCCAGGATTTTTTCCCTGACTGTCTGATATGCATTGAGAGTCACATGCCGTCACCTGATCAGGACTTGAGGAAACTTTCCCTGCCAACATTCCCAATAAACTCCCATGTGATGCTGCTTCCTCCAGACAATTCTCCTCCTTTATCTTCACCATCCCATCCTCTGTTGGAATAAAGAGGGAAAATTGAGACCTGATTCATTTCTTGTGCTGGGAAGTAAAGAATCCTTGGAAAGGGGGAACAGCAGAAATAAATAATAATGATATTGTCTGAAATTAGGAGCCAAATCCCGCAATGCAGAGGGACCATTTCTGCTCCCACTTAACACCTCAACTGCCAGGAAAGGACAAAGGATGATGGGAAGAGAGGTGTATTCGTCAGTCAGTGAGTGTGGGAAGGAAGTCATAACTGACACACCTGCCAGGAGGATGTGACCCCTGCTGGGACAACCCTGACATGGGTGAAGAGGGGCAGAACTGGGGCCTTGGTGGAAAAGCCAACTGGTTTGTTCACTCGCCCGTGGTTTCTGAGTTGGCTTAACAAACTCCTCACCTGTGCAGGCGCCTCTCATGATCTCCCCTTCCTCTGCATCCAAGGGGCCCGGCTCCTCCCCTGGCTCCATCAGAGAGATCTGGAGTAGAAATAGCCCCGGGTTAGATGAAGCGTGGACTCCCTGCAGGCTGGGTGAGTTTATTGGCTCACTTGCAGGCGGGTGCAATTTTTATTGATCTTTTATTATGAAAGAGGAAAGTGGTGTTTAAAAGTGAAGAGTTAAAATCAGGGGACGGAAGCTTTAATTCTCTCTCCAGTACCACCAATCGATGCAACCTTAGGTTGTTGCTATGGCAGGGCTTCCTGCATGCAGCCAGCTGAGAGACAGTGGATGGGAATGAGACAGGCACTAAGGAGACCTCGGTTCTGTTACTACCCTGTTTCCCCGAAAATAAGACAGTGTCTTATATTAATTTTTGCTCCCAAAGATGCGCTAGGTCTTATT